TATTTCAGCAATCAAACTGGCAATTTAGGTACACCAGCACATGACCGCCCACCATTTAGACTTTCTTTAAAGGATGGTCTCGTGGAGCCCCCTCACATGGTAAGACCCTGACAGGGATGATGATAATGAGATAAAATGTTTCTTTCCCTTGCTAGACGAGTTAATTGGCTTGTTGCAGGCAATAATTAAACATAGCATAATTTCATTATAAAATCGCAGACCATCGTTGACATGCAATTTTTTAGAGCCATGAATCCATCATTGTTGTAGAGCCATGAATCATCATTTAGTGTGTTTAGATTTCTTACGGGGAAAAAAAACTTCAAAAAAAAAATGATTATCCTTAGTTTATGTTGTATTTGGATATCGTGTGAGAGGAGACAATTAGTATAAATAGAACGTGTTGCATGTTGTTTCTATTTTAAAAATATTGAAATTCATTCCAATATTATTATAAATACATATTTTTTTATATATTTTTTAAGACAAAAACCAACTTGAGATTCATTTTTTTCTGGGTTTTCATATTCAACATATTCTATTTTGTATTGTTTCGAGGTGAACTATCCACATTTAAATTAGTTTATTTTAACAAATTATTTCTCGACCCTTTCATAAAATCGAGCCATGAATGATAAATTGAAAACATGGAGAAAAAATCGAATGATAACCAATCATTCCTTAAGTCGACTACTCCGTGTCACAACCACAATGATCTTTGAAATCGAATGATAACCAATCATTCCTTAATTCGACTCTAAACATTTTCTGGCCTACAGGCTTATCTGGGCTAGGCCTACATTGCAGCCACTCGACGATTTCCGCGACCCCTCTTCACAGTCCCATGGCATGCCTCTTTCTGATTTGGACACAAGAGTTTTGTTCGCAAAATGGGTCCAATTTGGGTGTATTGCTATCTGCATGGGTCATCAAGATTTTAATCCATGGCGACAAGCATGTTGGGGGTGGGGTGGCTGGAATCGAGAGCAACTGATGCTTCCTCGCAGCTTTCCACATGCCCGACTTTACAAGCAAACATCCTTGAGCATGGTCCCCCCTGCATAATTTTCCATGGAGATGCTTCACAGCATCACCAATCTCTTTTCTTCTGATAAAATAGACCTCCCAATTGGCTTATTATATAGCTCATCGGTCAGTGAGGAGCAATTGAAAAGCAAAAAATTGCTAAAATATATCGCTTTTTCAATGGTATAATGCCGTTTTTTTCTCCCTTCTCTCCCCCACAATTTTCTTTCACTTCGTAGTTTTATTGAAGGAACACTGTTCCCACATGTTCTTCCACCAATTTTACTTGTTTTAATTTAAAGAATCTGCAGTTATTCATACAAGGCTCGCTTACGAAGAACGTGTTTATTTTGACGTCTAACCACGTTTTTAGAAGATCTTGATTTGTTTTTTGGGCTTCAAATATTTTTTTTATATTTTTTTAATTAATATTTTTTCAAATAAAAAATATATTTTACTGTTGAAGTCTCTCGGTGGCAGCCGAACGACAGAGGGGCCAAGCGTTTTAGCAGTGTGTAAGACATGAAGAGGGACATCCAGGCCCACTCGACAGAGGCTTGAATCTTGTTATCATAGAAAGAAAAACTAAAATGAAAGTGCGGCTTAGGCTGTCTAGTGAATGCTAGGCCCAAGTGGACCTCAATTAGGAACTACTAGTCAATATCCCCGCAAGTTGATTTAAAAAATATATTTTAATACAACATAATTTGTTAATTAAAAAATAAAAATATAATATTTGTGTTTAATATAATGAATTGTAAGAAAACTATAAATGCTAATTAAAAACTAAAATGAGAAGCTGATTTTCCAGCCAAAAGTAAAAAATATACAAATACAAATACTTCACCGTGAATATCCTTTTCATATCATATATTTTCTTTATGGTTGTTAAGTACATACGATTTTTGCTCTGGTAGATTTGTAAAAACAATATAAATGATCTTAAATCTAATAAGAACAAAAATCAAACATAAATCAAAATAATATATTAGAAGTATTATGAAATTATAAAAACCTTCCAAAAGATTTATTATTATTTAAAAATGGCTAAATTAAACAGTTAAAATTTAAAAAAATGAATATTAATTAAAAATAAAATAAAAAACCTAACAAAAAAACAACAAACTGCTGGGTTTGAAAGACCAGCCCGCATGCTCGGCTAAAAAGATAAAACCCCAAGAGCACATGCATGATTTTCCCTTTTCTTAAAACAATGACAAGGAAACATGTCATTTGCTTGGGAAGATGACTTCTCGTTCATAGTTATTTATCTTTTTTGATCATATATGATGATTGTAAGAATTTTAAGTTTTTAATTATAAAACCGTAATTTTAACTTGTTTTTTACTTAGACACACCTATAAAAAATCCCAGGAAAACCCAACCAAAATAATAAAAACTTGATGGGTTTCAATCTATTTTTTCTGATATATTCAAAGAGCAACACTCACCTTCATGGACTCGATACTTAAAAAAAAAATTATTAACATTTAGATTGATTTTTTTATGACTGGAATGTTATTGATCAAATACTTTTTTTTTCCAATGAATTTCTCACTTCTTTCTTAACATCTAGCGATTAAAATATAAAATAAAATAAAATTTAAGATGGAAACATAAAAAACCTAAAACAAAAGAAAAAATATTAAAATATTAAAAACTAAGGGACCAAAGTGAAGTTTTTTGTATACCAATAACGATAGAAAACAAGCTTTTTGTTTTTTTGTTTATGTTACTCTTGATCCTTGTAATTCTTTGAATTTTTTAACAAAAACCTAAAATTAGGATGTAAAAATATTTCTATGTAATTCCTTTCGCACATTGGGTTAATTTTCATGACTCGTTAGGATGGTAAAATCAAATATCAGAACTTAATTCAAGCAATTTCACCCTGATATGACATCTCCCCTGCCTTGCTGAAGATATTTGAATATATTAATCTTTTTGGTCAACAAGCAAATTTTGTAAATGAATCTGACCCTCTCGTACGTAAATGGGCAATGAAAGCTGGCCAAGCTTGTTGTGGAAACATTGAAATTGAGCTTATCTATCACGCCCACAACCCAAGACTCCCTCGTATCTCTCCTCCATGCCAGTTTACAGGCCACCGTCTTTCTTATCAATTTAGACTTGGTAGTCTTGTTCTCTATCCCTTTTGCAATGCAAATCGAATGGATAAAATCGGAAGCCATTATCCTAGAATGATCATAGCATCGATCGGCAGCATGTGTCCACAAGAGCTGAGATCAACAAAACGTGGCACTCCTTGGACAACGAGCTAGAGATCGACTCGTGCATGCATGATGCAACATGCGCCTAATTAAGGAAGCGGCCAGACAGCCTTTTTCCTCACAATTGAGCTCATCGTGAATAGAAATAAGACAATAAATTAGTATATCGGATAGTAGATAGCAGAAGAGGAGATAAGAAAAATGGATTCTCTCTTAAAACTTAATGTATAAATGAAAGGAAAGCCATAAACTGCTACATCCGCAAAGCTATAGACCACGATGGCAATGTTTTTCTTCCTCGGAGCTTTCTTTATCTCTTCTCCAAACTTACAGAACCAAAATAAAAATTCTTCTCCATGAATATTAATTAAAAATAAAATAAAAACCTAACAAAAAAAATAACAAACTGCTGGATTTGAAAGACCAGCCCGCATGCTTGGCTAAAAAGATAAAAGCCCAAGAGCACATGCATGATTTTCTCTTTTCTTAAAACAATGACAAGGAAACATGTCGTTTGCTTGGGAAGATGACTTCTCGTCCATAGTTATTTATCTTTTTTAATCACATATGATGATTGTAAGAATTTTAAGTTTTTGATTATAAAACCATAATTTTAACTTGTTTTTCACTTAGAAACACCTATAAAAAAATCCCAGGAAAACCCAACCAAATTAATAAGAACTTGATAGGTTTCAATCTATTTTTTCTGATATATTCAAAGAGCAACACTCACCTTCATTAAACTCCTTTCTTAAAAAAAAATTATTAGCATTAAGATTGATTTTTTTAATGACTAGTCAAATCCTTTCTCTTTTCTTTTTTTTTCCCAATGAATTTCTCATTTCTATCTGAACATCTAGCGATGAAAATATATACAAAAAAAATTTAAGATCGAAACATAAAAAACCTAAAACAAAAGAGAAAATATTAAAATATTAAAAACTAAGGGACCAAAGTGAAGTTTTTTGTATACCAATAACGATAGAAAACAAGCTTTTTGTTTTTTTGTTTATGTTACTCTTGATCCTTGTAATTCTTTGAATTTTTTAACAAAAACCTAAAATTAGGATGTATAAATGTTTCTATGTAATCTATTCCTTTCGCACACTGGGCTAATTTTCATGACTCGTTAGGATGGTAAAATCAAATATAAGAATTTAATTCAAGCAATTTCACCCTGATATGATATCTCCCCTGCCTTGCTGAAGATATTTGAATATATTCATCTTTTTGGTCAACAAGCAAATTTTGTAAATAAATCTGACCCTCTCGTACGTAAATGGGGAGCATTTAGATATAACACGTCCACCCTTGCGTAGACATGAGCAATGAAAGCTGTGGAAACATTGAAATTGAGCTATCTATCACGCCCACAACCCAAGACTCCCTCGTATCTCTCCTCCATGCCAGTTTACAGGCCATCATCTTTCTTATCAATTTAGACTTGGTAGTCTTGTTCTCTATCCCTTTTGCAATGCAAATCGAATGGATAAAATCGGAAGCCATTATCCTAGAATGATCATAGCATCGATCGGCAGCATGTGTCCACAAGAGCTGAGATCAACAAAACGTGGCACTCCTTGGACAACGAGCTAGAGATTTGTGCATGCATGATGCAACATGCGCCTAATTAAGGAAGCGGCCAGACAGCCTTTTTCCTCACAATTGAGCTCATCGTGAATAGAAATAAGACAATAAATTAGTATATCGGATAGTAGATAGCAGAAGAGGAGATAAGAAAAATGGATTCTCTCTTAAAACTTAATGTATAAATGAAAGGAAAGCCATAAACTGCTACATCCGCAAAGCTATAGACCACGATGGCAATGTTTTTCTTCCTCGGAGCTTTCTTTATCTTCGTCTTGTTTCTTCTCCAAACTTACAGAACCAAAAGAAAAATTCTTCTTCCGCCTGGTCCCTATGGACTTCCTTTAATCGGTAACTTGCATCATTTTGTATTGTACAAATCACCCCCTCACCATTACCTGTGGCAACTCTCGCACAAATATGGGCCGCTTATGTCCTTGAGACTAGGTTTTGTGCCAACTCTGGTAGTTTCTTCAGCTAAAATGGCCAAAGAGGTTATGAGAAAGCATGATCTGGAGTTCTCTGGGAGGCCTTCCTTACATGGCCAGCAAAAATTGTCTTATAACGGCCTAGACTTGGCTTTTACACCATATGGTGGTTATTGGAGGGAGATGAGGAAGATTTGTGTTCTTCGACTCTTTAACTTGAAACGAGTGCAATCTTTTCATTCCATTCGTGAAAATGAGGTTTCTAGTATGATTAAAAAAAAAAGGAAAGCTGCCGATGCTTCCAGGACTGCCAACATGAGTGAAGCAGTGACTGCCCTTACAAGCTCCATAATTTGTAGAGTTGCCTTTGGGAAGAGTTATGAGGATCAAGGTAGTGAAAGAAGTAAATTTCATAACCTTCTTAATGAAGCACAGGCCATGGCGGCTAGTCTTTTTGTTTCGGATTATCTTCCTTTCATGGGATGGATTGATAAACTCTCTGGATTGATGGCTCGCCTGGAAAAGAATTTCAGCGAATTTGATGTTTTCTACCAAGAAATAATTGACGAGCACCTGGATCCAAAGAGAACCAAACCTGAGAAAGAGGACATCATTGACGTGTTACTTCGCCTGAAAAAGGAACGCTCATTTGCATTTGATCTCACTCGGGATCACATCAAAGCAGTGCTAATGGTCATTAATAAGTTTCTCAATTCATTTTGTTTTTGTCATGTATAGCTTTCACTAGAGATCCTTTAGTTTTCTACCGTGGAAAAGATATTATGCATCGCTTCTTATATATGTAGACCTTTTTTTTGTTGTTGGCAGAACATATTTATTGCTGGCACAGACACAACTGCAGGCACCTTGGAGTGGGCCATGACAGCTCTAATGAAGGAACCTAGAGTGATGAAAAAAGTTCAAGAAGAAGTTAGAAATCTAGTTGGTGACAGAAAACTCGTGAAAGAAGACGATCTCTTAAGATTACCATATCTTAAGGCAGTGGTGAAAGAGACATGGAGATTGCATCCAGTGGCTCCATTACTACTCCCACGAGAAACAATACAAAATTGCAACATAGATGGTTATGATATACCAGCCAGAACTCTAGTTTATGTGAATGCGTGGGCTATCGGAAGGGATCCTGAAGCGTGGGAAATCCCAGAAGAGTTCTATCCTGAAAGATTCTTTGGCAAGTCTATAGACTTTAAAGGACAAGATTATGAACTGATACCATTTGGTACCGGTCGAAGAGGCTGTCCAGGGATACATATGGGAGCTGTGACTGTGGAGCTTGCATTTGCTAATCTTCTTTACAGCTTTGACTGGGAAATGCCGCAAGGATTGAAAGCTGAAGACATGGACATGGATGTTCTGCCGGGTCTCAGCATGCACAAGAAAAATGCTTTATGCCTTATGCCTAGGAACTATTTTCATATATCAAGTGTTTGATGTTGTAATGTACGACGGAGCCATATCAATCTGTCTCGTTTTATCCACACAAACAGGGGTAGTTTCCCTCGCCGTTATAGCTAGCTAGAACTTGAATCCTAGGCCAACTGTTGAAATTTCACCAATTTCTCCTAGCTGAAAGCATGTGATCACGACCAGCATAGCTTCGTATCTTGCTGCTTCTTCTTGTCATCTATTATACTGTTACGAAGTTTCACCATTATATCTTCGTATAGCCGGTTATAATTTATAAATAATACATGTACTGTACGTTGATAAGGTTGTAAGTTTTATGAAATGCCATCAAGAGATTATTCAAGCGAATTGTTGACAGCACAAGAAACTCTGTCATAGGTTGATAAATTCTGATTCGTATATGAGAATGATCCTGGTAGTTCATTCAAGGGTCAGTAAACCTGGCCGAAATGCAGAATGTGGCCAAACTTAAAATTATTTTAACTCAACAATGAAACAAGTCACGGATTTTCCCGAGGCACTGAAATCTCTCTTCTTGTCATGGTATTGCAATATTTCGGAAAGAGGCGTGCTCATACTTGATTCAATTTATCATAGTTGCTGTTAAACCCGGTTTTAGTTTGATTTTATTTAAAACTCGGGTTATTGAGTCATAAGTCAACTTTCAAGTTATTAGATAAACTTGGATAAACAATATCATCTAAAAAAAATTATTATTTTTTAAAATTAACCTAGTTAAGTTTTACTTAAATTTAACTAAATTAATTCATCAAATTAAATTAAATTTAATTGAATTAATATTTAAAATAATTCAAAATAAAATTTTATTTAGGTTAATCTTTCATTCACCGAGACTTAACATATCTTATATCGGTTTCATAACCATACAATATATCACTAATTTTAACTTATAAACAGTTTAAATTAAAGTTATATTTGTTTTTGTATTTTAAAAATATCTTTAAAAAATTTTATTTTTTATTTTATTTTAAATTAATATATTTTTAGTATTATTAGATAATTTTAATATGCCACTATTAAAAATAATTTTTAAAAAATAATATAAAAAATTTCTAGGATAAGCCATTTTCATCGACACCTAGCCAGTCTAAGCCTATGAGCTGTGATCTAGCACCGGGTTTCCAGTATATACATGTTTTGCCGTAACAGTACTGTTGGCATATGATTAAGGATTAGTGCCATCATTCAACTTTATCCTTACAGGGCCACGTATAACTTTGGTACGTCTACGATGTATGGCAATATATACACCTTTTCATATCAGATGAAGCATGCTGACCTCGATCAGTAGAAAAGAAGACTAAAAATTATTAATTTAATACCTTTTCAAGCATAAAACATTTAAAAAATATGTTTAATTACAAAAATAAACACTACATAAGTTATAAATTGCTTCCTCAGTTTAAGTTTTCATCAATTTTGAAATTAAAATAAATAAAAATTAATTTTAACCAATTCTTTGGTTTTAATGATTAAACATTTCAAAAAATAAGTTTTAGAAAGATTGAAGTTTCTATTTTTTATAGATATTTTTTGTTAAATTTGTATCTAATACAAAATCAAAGAAAGATTAGCAAAAAATTAATGTTAAATTGACCTTTGAAAAGTTAAAAGGGCTAATAAAATAGGGACAAAATCAAGGAGTGGTACTTTTTAGTTCTGAAAGAAATTTACAGATGTCCGTGATATTATTGTTTGATTTTGTTTTGCATCATATTTCTTGGCGGAACAGGACAGAAACATCTGCTGTTACCGTGAATGGGCCATGACCTTTCTATGAAGAATCCTGAGGCAATGAAAAAAAGCTCAAGAAGAAGAAGTTTAGAATTTGTTCTGGGAAAGAAAGGGTTTGCAAATGAAGATGATGTCCAGCAATTATCTTATCTTAAAGCTGTGGTTAAGGAGAACATGAGATCGCAACCACCACCACCATTACTAAGGGGATACGAAATACCAGCCGAGACCTCAGTCTAAGAAAATGCTTGGGCTACTAGAAGAGACCCAAAAGCTTCGAAGAATCCATGAGAATTAAGTGCTACTCACTCGAAAGGAAATGATGTTGAGCTACTACCATTTGGCGCTTGTCGAAGAATTTGTCCTGGAATATTAATAGGACTTGCCACTGTGGAGCTCTCACTTGCCAATCTTCTTCATAAATATGACTGGGAAATGCCATCTGGGACATTGATGATGTGCACCCCGGTCCTGTTCCTCGCATGAGGGATGCTCTCTGCCTTGTGCCTTAAGGCATTTGTGTGATGGGAAATGTTACATGCAGGAGAGATCGCAACCACCACCACCATTACTAAAGGGATACGAAATACCAGCCGAGACTTCAGTCTATGAAAATGCTTGGGAGACCATGAGAAGAATCCATGAGAATTAAGTGCTACTCACTCGAAAGGAAATGATGTTGAGCTACTACCATTTGGCGCTTGTCGAAGAATTTGTCCTGGAATATTAATAGGACTTGCCACTGTGGAGCTCTCACTTGCCAATCTTCTTCATAAATATGACTGGGAAATGCCATCTGGGACATTGATGATGTGCACCCCGGTCCTGTTCCTCGCATGAGGGATGCTCTCTGCCTTGTGCCTTAAGGCATTTGTGTGATGGGAAATGTTACATGCAGGAATCATAGCTCATAATTAGATATTTCCTTTTGTTCAATATCAGCTGATTGATTACTATACGAAAGAACGCACAGCATAATCCAGGTTTTAAACTATGGTTGAGCCAGCCCTACAGGCCACCCTTCCAGTAAACTGTCTTTTGTTAATGACACCCAGAGATTGCAACCAAAAGTGCCATTACTAGTCTCCCGAGAGAGAAATCCCAAAAGGGCAAAATTGGTCGGTACGAAACACCAGCCAAGGTTTTAAACTATGGTTGAGCCAGCCCTAGAGGTCACCCTTCCAGTAAACTATCTTTTGTTAATGACACCCAGAGATTACAACCAAAAGTGCCATTACTAGCTCCCGAGAGAGAATTCCGAGAAGGGGCAAAATTGGTCGGTACGAAACACCAGCCAAGAGGCCCAAGACCATAGTCTATGACTCTTATGTTAATGCGCGGGCTTATTGGAACTGGCCATGAAGCTTGGAAGAACCCGTACGAGAGATTCTTGGACAGTTCTACTGACTTGAAATGACATGCAGGTGAGCTAACACCATTTGCTCTTCCGCCTAGTGTCTATGGACATAAAGGAGCTAGTGGGTGATCAATGAATTATTGGCGTTTCTACAATAAAATTTGAAATACCGAAGACGAATACTTACTTCTATTCGCTCAATTTCAGTTTAGTTATAGTAACTGGAATAAAAAATGGAATGCAATACCATGATCGACCCAGATTTTTATGCATTACGATTCTTGGTAAAACAATTGAAATTTGAAAGCATTGTTGTTTGAGTTTCATCTCAGAAGCCGTTTGGGTGCAGCCATCATTCTATATAAAAGATTTGATACAAGCTGCCACTGAAATCATACAATTCTCCTAGGCCTCCAAGCCATCAAGAGCCAGCCCATAAAAATTGTTTCCGTGAAGAAAACAGAAAAAATGCGGGGGCAATTGAAGATTGAAAATATAAAGCAATTAAAAATGAACGCAAATTACAGCAGTTAATGCATGCGATGGTACAATTCTCTACATTGAGAGAACAAAATTTCTTATTGGAACCTGGGAATTGTTAGTTATGACCTGCGTAGCCTTCCTCTCTTGCCAGTTTTTTCTAGAGAAGAATTTGCGCTTTTATTTGCCGATGGAGAGCGGCCCTGCCTGCGTCCAGTACTCTTTCCAGCGGATGAAGATTTTTTTCCACCTCTACTTTGACCCGTACCAGAAATCTTTCCACCACGTATGCTCTTCTTTTCTGTCTTGCCATTGACTTGATCATCACTGGCGTCACTTTCATCATTGCTATTCTCTTCTTCAGATTCTGATGCATCCTTTGACTTCCTCTTTCTGGAGTTATCAGTAGCTTTAGCAGGTCCCTTTTTTCCACTTTGCTTAACATGGTCTTTACTCCCAGGCTCCCCACTACCTGCAGAATAATAATAAATGAACAGGTCAAATTCAACTTCTCATCACTGATGAGTCGTACCCTCATAGGTGTCTTCTCGTACAAGCCTTTTGCTTATCAGAACAAAGAGATCAAACATGTCTCAATCACTGAGGCCACGTAGAAATTGCCCATAACTATGTTTAGCCCATGGTAAACAAGGCAGAAATCTGGTTACCAAAACTACTTATGCATGTTTGCTCCTAGCAGATGCAAAGGTATTATTTATTTATTTTGAGGAAGGGGTAGAGGAATTTGCCAATGAGAAAATAAATCAGTGAATTGTACATTTAACATTTAGCATACCTTCATCAGAAGCTTTTCCATCATAGACATCAAGCTGTTAAGACCACAAGTGTTGCACATGAGTATTCATGTAATTAGCATAAATCAAACAGCACGCACACCTGTATACACAGATATACACCCACACACCAACTTTGATAATGCCATATCTAAAGAACCACGTAATAGCCAACAAAATACAGAGGGACTTTAAAACGAGTCATTTGTCACTGCCAAGGATTCATGACTGGGAATTCCATGGAAAATTCTGAGGATCCATATTTTGGAAGATTTAGTATGGATCCTCAGTATTTTGAACATAAGCCTGCAGTGTCAATCACATGAACTGAGTTATCTTCTTAAAAGGACAATGGCCGACCAACATGAGCATGGTGTAATTCCAAAACATACATCTTGTTTCCACTTTCCACCATTTTTTATTTTTTTTTGAGAAAACACCAAAAGTTAACAATAAGTAGACTTTTGTTGCAACCATATAGTTGCTTTATTTTAATGATGACATGAGTATGAGCAAAACAACACCATGAAACCATAAATAAGAAACCAGCGACCGAACCTAATGGCACGGAAAAAGCACTTGGCTTGCAATCCCAGGAAGACCAATTCTAAACTTATTACCTGATCAAGTCCATCACCAACATTCGTCCTGTCAACTATGACCATGGAATGGCCCGTGCCACATGCAACACTAGAAAGGGAAAAGCTCTCATTGTTAAGTCCAAACAAACAATTGAAGCATATATTGTTATCAATGCATAAATTTTAATTAAATAAATATAATAACAATAATACTAGTACTAGTAGCTGCTCACCCAATAACATGCATGCCCTCCAGAATATCTACCTTCTTGGGCACTGCTGAAGACCTGAAGTGCAGAAATAAAAAAAAAAAAGTGAAAAGTAGAGATAAAATAAAGGACCACATAAATGCCAAGTGTTAAAAAATACATACTTTTGACCATTAGGGCCGTATCCCAGTTCTCCATTCAGAGCATACCCCCAACTTATGCAGGAATTATCAGCACCAACAAAATGATGCATGTTTCCTGAATCCATGCAACGTAAATTCCAACCACTGCATGCAAAAAGGCCCCAAAAATTGGATATTTATTTTTTACTTGCACATCAAAACCATTTTATTGAAGAAATGAAGGAATCTCAAACTTTGTATAAGCCATTAATATCAAATATTCCAATACACAGGCGATTCACAAGTTAACCAACATTAGTATCAAAAATTATATTATTGTGCAGGCATTGCTAAATCAAACATAATGAGAACACAGAACATCAATGTCTTTACATAATAGCAGAAAAGGATTCATAAGAGAAAGTAGAGCCTCAATGACAAAACAAAACAATTAAACGCTGCTAAAACAAAAGTGAAAAAGATGACAGTAATATAAAAATGGCATGAGGAAGAAACCTTAAATCCATGAGAGGTTTAGGATACATCCAGTCATCACCAGTATTTTTTATTTTGCCCCACATATACAACTGTCCACCTCCTGGAAATTGGAACAGGATCACATATTTGGAAAGAAAATTTACTAATACAACAAGGCTGAACCAGAGCCAGCCAATGGCTAGTTTGAAAAGCTTGACGGGGTATAAAATTATATTGTAAATCATGCCCTCTGAATAATATATATACCTAGATATCATCTGGAAGCCATTCTAAAACTTCCCATCTAATTGATGAATGATATTAACAATGCATCAAGTCATCTTAAAAGCATCTACATTCAACAGTGATGCTCATTGTCATTTCCTAGATCATGAATCCATCTTCTAACTCTATATTGAGAAACCTTGTGAGCACCATATTTTGGGATGGCATTTAGTCTGAATAACAATCAAAACAAGTGATGCAATCCAAGAAAAGAAGAAATTTAGGCCTTTTTTGACAATTTTGTTTCTACTTGTCTGAGGCATGTTATGTTCCACAAATAAAATTGTCCAGTCCTCTAAGTGGTCCAACCTATGGTTTTTAGCATCCCTCAAAAAAAAATCAGTATAACATGCCAGTCACTAACATATAATACCTGCAGTACAAGCAGAACTCACAGAACCAGCTGAAATAATTGCACCAGGAGGCAAAACATTGTGCTTTGAGAAGATGTCCACGCGCCGAGGGACCCACTCATCCTTCTGCTCTCTATGTCCAAGCCTACAAGGCAAAATCATGGAATTACATGAATTTTGAAATAGAAAAGAAGCAAGGTACCATGTCACCATGTACAAGATTTCAAAATCTTTAATTTATCTAAGACCAAAATGCTTCAGTTGTCCACAACAGTATGACTCACAGAGACCAGTGTCAAGCACAGAGTACAAACCTTCCATAACCTCCGAAGCCCCACCTAAACATACCAACAGAAACAATTTGCAAATATAAGTGAATTTTAGATACATGAGAATAAAACAAAGTGTATAAAGTGGATCACGCAGGAACGTACTTACGTGTAAACATAACCATTTGAATCCACAGCCACTGAATTCCCATAATGAATTGGCCAATCAACAAACAAAAGTGTGTCAAAGAGGGTGTGATGAAAATTGAGAGACAGGAGAGGGAATGTGTTAGACAATAACCTGTATGATTTGTTCCACATGCAACTTTCACAATGGTTTCCCCAGCAAGAGAAGCTATCGCTTTAGGGCGAGGTTGGGCTTCATATGCCAGCCTGACCGAGCTGTCTTTTGTATTGTACTGCAAGCACCCAAAGTCACATTAAATTCTGTAACTGGAAACAAGTAATGACATGATGAAGTGTAGCTACCTGACAAGCACAAGTTACTTAATTTACAAAGAGATGAACTAGATTCCAGATATTTTGTACACTCCTAAAACATTTAAAAGCCTCAAAAACGACCTACATCAATCAGATGTGCCTCTTAATGTAAAAGGACAAGAATAAATATTTTTGCAATGCTTGGACTGCTGTGGTGCCATCTCAGAATACGGGAAACTGGACACAGAAAAGTGATTTAAAAAGGCTTAGGATATTTAATGGTAGAAAGTGATTGGCAACGCAAACAAGTCAGAAGATTTGACTTCTAAATTCACTATCAGATGGTACCATGCACCTTTATTACTTCCCTGGGTACCCAAGCTTGATGCCAGTACAAATAACATACACAAAGGGGGCCGTATAAATCTGTTTTATACTTTATTGTTACTGTTGAGCTTAGCACACAAAGCCACAGAATGCAGCTGCGACAGTGTATCTAGGATGATTCAACATTAATGAAATGCTCAGAAAATAAAAGAAAGATCTGCTTCAAACATGCCTCTTTGTCTGTTCCATGTCCAAGTTGACCATACTGTGGAAGGCCAGCAGATCTAGATACCAAAAGAACATTTTGCAAATCAGTAAGTAATCTGAGTAAAATGATAACAATTAGCCATGAAGTTGTTCAGCTGTACAACCAAGAAAAACAGAACTCAAACACGTCCACAAACCATACAATATAGAAGCTCCTTCAACAGAGGATAACCACACCGTGAAGTCAGCGCCACAAGCAGTAGTTTTGACATCAGACACAAGACAGCGAACAGGAGATGACTCAATTTCTACAAAGAAGTAGAGCAAAAGAATGAACTAGAAGGTTGGTATCTGAAATTGGACACGTCAGCAGACATACAACAAACACTCTACATCCAATTAACCTCTTTTAATAAAAACATGCAACTTATATTAATAGCATTTCTTTTTTAAGCTTGTTTTGAAAATGCAACAATCCAAAGCTAGTCAAGAAAAGAAAAAAATATTTCACACCCTTCAATGAGAATATCAGAATGATTTTTAAATGCAAACATCCTATCCAAAGTATCAAACCCTTGAAATTCCATTCAACATGATCTAGAAGATGGATTTACCATTTCTTGCTGAGCCAGAACCCAGCTGCCCATGTTTATTCCAGCCAAATGCAAGAGATAAACCATCTTCAGTAACCACTACTGAATGGCTCCTACCAGCTCCAGCTCTAATAAGTTTATACCTTCAGAGAAAACCAATAAGGGTTAGTAGAAATATTTATCAACATTTCTTCAGTTAGCAAAAAAGAAATTTCTACAATTCTTTCTAGATAAACTCTTCTCACAATAATCATATAGTTTCAAATCATCAGACCTGATTCATTTTTTATAAAGGCGAAAAAAAATATATTAGAAAGAAGGAAATCCAGGAAGACACAAAACTGCCAACCAGGTCACTAGAGCAAGGTACTCCATTCAGACAGGTTCTGAATTGGTGCAAGGTAGAACGACAAATTTCTTTAAAGAACAACTCTTCTTACAATAATCACCTATTCCCAGTTACACAACCACATTCAGAAGTCACAAAAATGAATTTTGAAAATGAGCGGGACAGATATAATTTTCCAGTGGCATCTTCCGCTGGTCAATATCTAGATAACTTGCTATAGAGTTAAAAATAAAAGTTATGAAAACTCTTCCAAAATAGCACTAACCATTCCCTCATGCTATAACAGGTTCACACAAATCTTCAAGCCTTTCTTCTAAACTGTAAATTTTGCATAAAGAGGTGTATCCTGGTATTTCCCTAAGTATGGTAAAAAGTATTTTCCATTGACAAACATTCTTAAGAGATTTCTTATTGTGAACCAGGTACAAACACATCATAGAAATGACAAACAAGCATATGAACAGTCTATACTCATAACAATTTGCATGCTCCCTTGAATATTACATGTCATCATTTTGACAAATAAATGCAACAGATCAAGGTCTGGAAGCACTTCCTGCTCGGTGATGTCACATTTTCAGACCACACCACACCCAACACCAAAGAAACGAGGACTCGGCCTAAATTTTTCGTTAGAACTCAGAAATTTTCCAATCTCACTCCCAACAAAAACTCATATCTGCTTCTATCGTGCCTGGTAACCCTGCCAATGACCATAAACTCCTAAATATACTTCTATTGATGCTGATCAAAAACCTAATCACACAGAAACCTAAGAAATCCATACAAACTGTATCAATTTCAAAGCTCATCCTTTCCCCAGTTACTTCAAATGCAATACCGGTTAGAAGTCCACCTAAAGATCCAAAACAACTCTCCTATCTACATGTGCATTACAATAAGCCAATCAAATATAATAGCAATGGCTCCAAAAACATACTTGGAAAGTTCAGAAACGACTGTTGGTCTATCGCGCTGAATGGCGTCTCCGTGACCCAGTTGCCCCCTCTGTAAACACAAGCTAAGCTCCATTAATTGACTGATATTAACATAGACTAGCTAAATTTACCAGACAGCTTTAGAGATGAGTTGAGTCCGTGCCTCATTGCGTCCCCATGTGTAGCAACGCCCCTCAGCATCCAATGCCACACAGTGACACGACGCTACACCAAAAGGTGACGTAATAAAATAACCAATCAGAAGTGCCAGTTTATATGTGCTATACACGTGTAACCAGGCAATTGGGGAAATGAAACTCACCGGAACCTGAGGCAACGACGCGGATATCGACACCAACAAGAGGACGTAGCCGAGTAGGGGAGACCAAGTTGCCTTCCGGTGCACCTTTCTTGCGACCAACATTATCCCAACAGGCGGCGCCACAGAACAACAGCTCCCCTCCTTTCTCTTCTACCTTCGTCTCCTCTGCAGCCTTCTTCTCCGCTTCAACGGCCGACATTTCCGGCGAGATTGAAAAGAAGCTGGTAGAAAAAAGGCGCAGATCTAACAGTTGGTGTTTTAGATGGAGAGTGGTGAACAGCTGAGATGAAGTAAAATTGGCGGGAAAGAGGGGGTAACGGCTAGTAGAGAGAGATCGACGGCGTTAGGGTTTAGAGATTTGACTGTGAAAGGAGAGCAAGGTAAGAGAACCCTAATTTTCAAAATGGAAGCCTGAGAAATTAGAGAATAAAGGAATAAAAAGGGATTGTTTGGCTCTTCGAGGAAGAGCTACTTTTTATTAAGTAATAAGCTAAAGGTTTTAGGTAATGTACTGTTTAACCATACTAATATACTGTGATTACTATATTATTTTTTTATATAATTTTTCCATTTTATTTTTTTAATTTTTAAAAATATTTTTATTAATTTTATTTTTTAATTGAAAAATTAATTGAAAAATTAATTTTTAAATTATTTTTTAATATTAAATTGATTGAAAAATTAATTTTTTTAAAAATATTATTTCTTACTACAGTGTTTTTTCATATATTTTTTTGTTTTTTGTTAAATTTTTTTAAAATTATTTTTTTATTTTATTTTTTAATATTAAGGGAGTTAAAAATTATAATTATAATATATAAAAAAAACTGTAATTTTCCTTTTAAATTAATGTTAATCACCATAGTGTTTTTTTCCATATAGTTTTTTCTGGTATCTTTTATGTTTTTTTGTAATAATTTTTTTAAAAATTATTTTTTTTAATTTTATTTTTTAAATATTAAGCTAGTTGAAATTTAATTTTATAATAAAATTTAATCATACAGGAAAAATAATGTAACTTTTCTCGCAAAATAATGTGGATTGTTAGAGTGTCTCCCAGCATGATTTTTTTCTTATAAAATTTTTAAAATTATCTTTTTATTTTATTTTATTATTATTGAGCCGATTAATAATTATAATTACAAGTCATTGTAAATAAGGTTAAACCATATGAGGAAATATTGTAATTTTCATTACAAAACACTGTGAATTGTTATAGTGTTTTCAAAATAGTTTTTTTTCTTGTTTTTTTCTAAAATTTTCCTTGTCGGATTTTTTTTAATACTAAGCTTTTAAAGAATTTAGTTTTATAATTTTTTTATTTAAAACACTATAAATTATTGCAGTGTTTGCCCATATGATTTTTTTTTAAATTATCTTTGTCGAATTATTTTTTTTTAATATTGAGTTGGTTATGGATTATAATTACAATAAAGTTAAATTATATGAGATAAGCGTTATAGTTTTTTTCACAAAACACCGTGAATTGCTACAGTATTTATATAAATAATTTTTTTAAAATTATCTTTGTCAATTTTATTAGAGAAAATATTGTAATTTTACTCACAAAATATTATCAATCGCTACAATATTTTTTTCTCGTTGATTTTTTTCTTTCAAAATTATTTTTGTTGGTTTTTTTAATATGAAGTTGGTAAAAAATTTAACCTTGTAATTTTTTTTACTTTTTATTAATAGAAAAACTGAATTATGTGGTAAAAATATTGTATTTCTTCTTGCAAAATACCATGGATTGCTATATATTATTTTGTTAAATCTCTAAATTTTTTATCACGGATACAATTTTTTTATGTGATAAATAATTAACTCTATCATATTTTTAATTTTATTATTTATTTAATAATAATTTATAATTATAACATTATTGAATGTATTTATTTTATAAATCTACAGCAGCGGTGAGGCATTACATCTTCTTTATTATTAAAGGAAGTATAGTATGGAGGAGACGTACCACTTGGCCACCATCTAGATAGTTATTTTTATGGAGGAGATGGTTGGATTTTGTTTCTATTTGTTTTATACAATTCGTATCTCTCTCTCTCTCTCTCTCTTTCTAATTCCCGCTATTTTAAAATTTCCTTCTATCTTTTTATAAGAAAAATAAGAGGGTAAGCTCCCTTCCTTCATGATTATCAAAATCGGTTCAATTCTATAAGTTGAACCGTAAATCCATGATTTAAATGTTGCAAAGCATGATCAGTTAATGCGGGTTTTTTAATGTGTTAATATATAAAAAAATTTATTTTTGTAATATATTAGATATCATAATATTAAATATACATTTTAAACAAAGCTAGCTATCCTTTTCATGCGGAAAATTTTATTGTAATTAAGCTGTAATTAATATACAAGTATGAAAGATAAACATTACATGAAAATATCCTATTTATTTTTTATGGATCACAAATTTAATCTTTATCTGACTATGTAATTTGTAAAGTTTTCAATAACGATGGCCCAATGATAAAAAACTTAAAATTTAAATAATGAGTTGTGAATTTAAATTATAGCATACATCTTTTCTAAAAATTTAAAACAATTAAAATTTTATTTACTTGTCTTGATTTAGAAAATACAGGGTCTTTAAAGAGGGATTTTCTTGAATAAAAATAAAAAGTATTCTGTAAAGTAAATCTTACTAATTATAGCTTGAGCACGATGAAATTTTATCCCCGTGCTGATATTTATTTTTGCACGCGAAAGGCATATGATGTTTATCTTCGTTTGCCACGCAGCAGGCCCAGTATAAAAGGCATTTTTTCCCTGTTTTCCAGAGATAAGACTTGCTTCTTGCACGTGGAAAATCATCGAGCATGCTGTCCCACGTGGAGAAGAATTTGGTGAACAGCTTGCAAAAAATTGCTGTCTTATATTTTATAAAGCAAGGGAACTAGTAATTTTATTTCCTTGCTGCCATTTTTTCTCGTCCAGTTGTTGTAGTGTTATTTTTCACTCTCCTCGCCTTCCTTCATTGATTTTCAACATTTATCTAGATAACTATTAACAATTAATTGACATTCACATTGACAATTAATAATAAAAATTTAAAGAGAATGGAGTAAATAGTGTTTTATTTTTTCTTCTTCTTTGATTTTCTTAATCAATATTTTGAAAAAATATATATTATTATTTAATATTAATTTTATTTTTTATTAGGTTATCTCATTCTCATAAAATTAATTATAAGTTTAGCATAAATTTATGAGTTTTTTATTTATTGGAACAGTGCTTTGATTTTTATTTTTTTAATTGGTGTTTGTTATTTTATTTTTTAATATTATATTTTTATTAAGTTGTCCCGATTTTATGATACGGGTCATGAATATGACAAATTAACATGATTGATTTAGTTTTTTTTTTAATTTTATCATTTAATATTATATTAATTGATAATTGAGTTTCATGATTGATTTGTCCTGTTTACTTTCTATTAGATGATTTCGGTCTCATGGCTTTGGAATAGTACTTAACGGGCTAACTATAATTAACTCATGTTATTTTTTATTTTTTTTAATTGATTTGTTTTTTCAATCTCATCCCTCGATGCTAAATCTATTAAGAATTGAGTTTCATAATCTGTTTTACTTTTTATAGTAATATCTTAATCTTATGATTAAAATCATAGATTTTAGTACTTGAGCTCGATTAAACGAAGTTATTTTTATAATGGATTATATTAGTCTCGTAACCTAGATCATGAATTCTTGAACATTAAATTTGTTTTTTCACTGAGTTACTCTGGTCTTATAATTCGGGTTGCGAGTTTGGCAGATTAACTTGGTTTGACTTGGTTTTTTCAACTGACGATTTCCTATGATTTTATTATCTAATATTGTATTTTGTTATGGAATTGGATTTTGTTATTTGTTTTTGTTTTTTTTTTATTAGATTATATGGTTTCATGATGTGAGAATAGTGCTTAACAAATTATTTTGGGTTGACGTAGATTCTTTCTCTGTCATTTTTTAATTAAAACTTTTATAAATTTCATTATCTAGTATTGGATTCAACGAGGTCAATTAAAAATTAAGCTTTTAATAGTTTATTTTGAATAGTTCTCGATAAAGTCATATGAGTTTTATGACAAGAGTCGTAGATTTTACATGTTAACCCATGTTAAATTAAGTAATTTTTTTTTTCATATAGGCTATCCTAATCTCATGACTTGAATTACAGGTTTGACAAATTAACTTGGGTTTTTTTTTATTTTTTTTATTAATCTATTTTTTTATAATGTCGTCCTTCAATATTAAGTTGACTGTGAAATAAAATTTGTAATTTATCTCAACTTGCTTTCTGCAAGGTTATCTCGTTTTTATAATTTAAATTGTGAGTTTGACATGTTAATTTGAATTATTTTTTATTTATTTTTTAATTTTATTATTAGATATTGGATTAATCAAGACTTAGACTATATAATTTGTTTTTCACTCGCTTTGTGTGGGGTTGTTATAGCCTTGTAACTTAGTTATACATTTAACCAAATTCAATTAAATATGTTGTTATCTTAATACTAAAAAAAATGCTATATCAAAACAAAATCAATTAAATTATATTTTTACTAATTATCCGAGTTACTTTTAAACCCATAAAATTAAAAAAAAATACAAGTTTACAATATATTTGAAGAAAATGCTCCATATCCCGTAGTTATTTTACGATACACTCGAAGTAAATGCTTCATGTCTTGTAGTTATTTTTCCTTTCCCCTGCATAATTACTAGATAATTACAATATAGAAAAAATAGACAAAAAAGTAAAAATACGAGGAAAAAAATAAACTTTTTTTTAATAAGAGATAATTCTTATATTTTTGTATAAAACCAGGGTGATTTTCACTTTCTCCTTGTGTCTATTCCACCGAATAAAAATTTCCATCACCCAAACCAAACACAGCGCTAGTGTAAGGCAACCATATAAATAGCCCATTTGCTTGACCCAATCCAGGCACCAAAGAAGGCCATGAAATTAAAGCCACGGGCTCCCAGTTACCGAACAAAACTTCGGATCCAATCAGAAGCAACGACATAAAATTGACAGCTCTATTTAAATAATGCCCCCGATTCCTTGTCGAGGAGAACCCTCGTCAGAACCCTATATAAAACGACACCGACGGGCGATGACACCCCAAAAGCCTAGCACTGAAACGCCGTTGTCCTCCTATTTTCTTAGACGTTTTGTTTTCAACAAATCTCTTTGTTTCCCCAATCTGAAGAGGCAAACAGCGAATCAATTTGAATTGCTGGATGCTCAGTCTCTAATTTGTTTTTTTATGATTTAGATTCACGAGTAGGAAGATCTGAAGCTCTCTTCCTGCTTTTATCTCCAAATCTCATTTTTTTATTTTTTATTTTTCGTGGGTTCACTGTGCTGTCAGCCTATGATGACAAACTTGAGTTTCACTGAAAGGAAGTCAATGAATTTGCATAATTGTTGAGATTCATGAACTAGGACGGTCTGAGGCTTAAATATTTTCCCCTCTATTTTCACGATTTTGTTTGAAAACTAAATATTGGGCTCTGGACACTGCAGGTCTCGTGAGTGATATGAGAAACATAAAAAAATTACAGTTATCCCTGGCTCATGCATCTGTGCTGATTATCGTGGGCTCCGACACAAACTGTAGAGTTCTTTTCAAGCCTTTATGCATATAAAGTTGTTTTGATCCAAAAGTGTACTTGATTAACAATAATAAAGTGTTAGCTGGGGCAAGATTAATTTTATGATTGCTTTAGTTTTACATTAATTAGCAGATTAATAAGAGCTAGCTATCGTGTTTCTTTCTTTTTTACATAAATCTTGCCTTCCAATGCTGACCTTGCAAAGAACACGGTTAATGAATTTAATTTGTATTATGGGTTGAATCTGTTTGAAACCAAGAAGGCCCAAATCTTACTTTAAAATCCCAATCCTTAATTTGGCCCATGAAACATGGCCACAACATATGAAAATTTCCTTTGAAAAGTTTGCCATAACGATGTCTGCCGAAGTCGAGGCATCGAGTTTAGTCTCGACCTTTTTGATGGATGATTGCAGTCTAAATTCTCCATGATGATAAACCTTACATACTGCATGCTAAACCTCCACAAATAATTTGACAATTGAAGCCTTTTCCTCGGCAAAGAATCCCAGTTGCTTACTGCAAAGCAACAACCTCATTGCGCAGGAATAAGCTGTGACATGTCCTAAACAAAAACAGTAGTAGCAGGTAACACTACACCAGCTGATAACCGAGCAGAAATGAATTCCATGACTCCCAGAACCCCTTGTTCTATTGAATCATCAAACAAACATCTCAGAAGATCAGTTAATCAACCGTATACCATATCAAAAAATTTGGAATGCCTAGAATAACAGATTCTATTATAACTTAATACTTGTATTCATAAGAATTCAACCACTTTGCAAATGACCCTTGACATTTAACCAGAGTTCCGTGGATAACTGCCATAAATACATCCCCACTTGACGACAAGACTCTGTAGGAAAAAGAAATGCGGTGGGTCTCACTTGCATGATAACCTACTTTGTGGCTGTTATCTAATCATTATTTCCCCACAGCAAATAAAAAAAAAAAAATTGAGGATACATACAGCTAAGGAACACTACATGACGTTTCCATGTTTATCCATTGATTCGCAGATTTCTTCATCTATTTAATTGTTATGTAGCGATTAGTTCCATGCTTGGCCCAATGATCCTTGAGATCAACTGGATTTGACAGATCCTGGCCTTCAGCTGCAAGTCGGCTAAGCAGTTTGCTAAAAGCACTCCCACTCATTTTTCGCCCACCAACACGAGCATGCCGCTTGTTGGGCACTGCAGGTAGGGGGTACATTGACAAGGCAGTTGTGCAGCACGAAGACTGCCATCCACCATTACCCCATTTATAGCACTGCCTAAAGAATCCAGTGCAGGAGCACACTGGTGCTGGCATGGTTGTTTCATCAAAAGCAACCTGGTTCAACCCGAGGTCTTGACCCTTCCAATCAGACTTAGATGCTGCCAGCTGTTTGTTTAGACCATCACCTCCACCATTCATATCCTCCCCATTCTTCCACTCATTTGACTTTCCAAACATGTTGTTCAAGTCCTCGCTCTCCCTCTTAACCTTCATTGCTGATTTTGAGGTCTTTTTATTAGCTGGGGTTGACTTAGTATCCTTTGGTCGTTTACCCCGACGTGGCTTTGCAGCCTCAGAAGCAACAGGTGATATTGGCACAGTATCACTTGTCTGCATTTCCCTAGTACCATATGCACCTTCATTCATGAGAGGCAGATGAATATGCTGCTGCTGGTGATGCATGTGCTTCATCCCACGCGAGTTATGGTATCCTGGTGGACTAGAGGATGTGTTAGCACTTGCAAAGGAGTTCTCTCGATATTGCAGAGTTGCAATAGCATTGTCTCGCTCCAGTAGGGCATTATTTCGCTCAGCAATTGCCGAGTCTCGCTGCAGCAATGCCATGTCTCTCTCTGCAATAGCCGCCTTCTTTTCTGAAAGGGCCATGTTCTTCTCATGAATGGCAGCATCTCTTTCAGCCATGATGCCCATGATCTGTTTCATGGATGGCTGTGGTTGCACCAGCCACTGCAGTGACAGCAGAAAGAATAACAATAGTAAGAACTGGCAATTGTATGGAAATATCAGAAACTACATACTCTACGATTGAATTCAACCAATGTTATCATATAGTTTTTAATAGTTATTGTCAGCAGAAAGTTGCTTTAAGATACCTGGCCCTGAGCTGTTTTATATTCATCTGCTTTGTGCCTGCCATTTTCACGATGAACACCATCATCCATGTCAGCTCCACAGGTGGCAATAATTGCAGATAACAAATAAAAACCCAAGTGTACATGCAGTGCTCAGTCAATTGAGCATTGAACGCTTATCCAGGCTACAAATCCTGTATCTCAAAGGAGGAAAAGTAATTCATAGACTGTTTATAGGGCATATTGCATGAAAAAAGAATGGGGCAAGACAGTTCTTAGTTCTTATGCTAATATTGAGAACAAGAAGGAAAGTGCCACAATTACCATCTGAAATTCAAATCACAGGTAAAAACTCATTCCCTTACAAAAGTTTCCTGCATAAGAAACAAATTATAGATCCAGATCAACGGAACAGAAATTCAACCTTTCAACAAAGGTAAAGTTCTAACTATAGTATAAGAACAGCATTCTTCAATCTTGATTGCACACCAAAGATAAAAAGAATAGGCAAGACCAGAAGAGTTTATTCAGATACGTATGCGTGCTTATAAAACAGCTACAAATGCAGAATTGGAAAGTCATATATTAATTTTAAACTTGTTGGATCAAATGCTGTTGTTGGTGTTAGGGAATGAGAGAGGGCAGAGCGTTTTTTCAAGTGGTTCTTATCAATTACATGGATGCAAGTAAGGGTAAAATAGTAGTTCATAACAGTGACATTCAAGAACAACTTAAGCATACTTATAAGCATAATGGCACACATATACAACAATACTGAGAATTCAAACAGAAAGATGCAACCAAGTTCTTGTGCAGTGCATATATTGTTGAAAATTGTTTAAGGAAAAAAGCTTGCCACCATGTTTCATATGCGCAATGTGAATTGTTGCATAATACTTAATAGGTACAAGTTCTTTCATAATGTGCTACAGCAAGTGATAAAATGTCGACAAGCAAGGATTCACTAGCTAAAGACAGTTTATAATTCCCAATTCAGACCATGACTTGCAAAACTAAAATCCAAACCCCACCCAGCATAGGCACTGGTCTATGCATTCCAAAATATAGTTTCTTCCAACTTCTGCATAGGACTGGGGGATGTGGTGCTATCTCATGTTCAAATGCTTATCATGGAAGACAGACAAGACCAGTGACAAGCATTCAGAAGAAATGGCCAATACCCTACCAGATGATTTTAAATCATCACAAGCACCTACTCACAGAGAACATTGTAACTAAAGCTCATTACTAAGGATCGGGTTTCCAAGCACGAATTAGCTATTGGACTCCTGATTATCTCCAGAAACCAACCAAAGATTCAATCTTGCCTCTGGTCAAACACTAAACATGATTCTAATTACATAATGCTAATATGCAGCTAACAGGTCAAAACACTGAATCAATCCTTAGCAAAAAATCTAAAATCAAGTGCCTCTAAATCCATCTCTACTAACCATCACTCCTACACTAAACACACAAAAAATCCAAGAAATTAAAACCCACCAAGCCCTTTTAAAAACGCACAGCTTTACACTTAAACGCGATCAAAACCCAAAATCAAACAAAATGAACACAAAAACAAGCTGCAATAGCAACAAAAACGCAACAATGATCCACTTGAAGTACCGAGAACCACAAATGTCAGTGACCAAAAAAAGGTAGGCAAAAGCGACAAAGACTGATCGGATAGCAAAGAAAGCAAACAACAGAGAGAGGAAATTAAAAATGTAATGGAATCTATGCTTACTTAAAGAGGCAATACAGGAAGAGAGACTGAAAACCCTAAGTGGGCAAGAAGAAGTCGAATCCGTGGAAGGAACAGTAGGAGAAGAGAAAGATTTTTTTTGCTATTTTTTTTAATGAGTGCGTAGTTTTTACCTGTCTGTCTTGTCTTAATACGTTTATTTTTTATTTATTTTTGTACTTTTTTCAATTCTACGCATTCTAGCGGTATTTTCCGGAAAATATTGCAGTTTTTATATATTAAAAGTGTTTTTAAAAAAAATCTAAAACAAATATTTTTTTCTAATATTTTTAAATTTTTTAATATATTAATGTTAAAAATAATATTTTAAATAAAAATTATTATTTTAATATATTTATAAAAAAAATTTAAAAATAACTATTTCTACACTTTCAAATACTCCTAATTATTAAGGTGGGATTGGAGCTGGTAACATGATGAGATCCAAATGCATTGTTTTGAGATATTTAAATAATTTATTTTGTATTATCATAATAGTTATTTTTTAAATTAATTTTTATTTAAAAATATATTAAAATAATATTAATTTATATTTTAAAATTTAATTTTAAAATCAATACATTAAAATAAAAATAAATAATTTTTTTTAAAGGAAATAAAATTATATAAAAATTTTAAATTTTTGAAAACACAAAAATAAATATACTTAAAAAAAATTTGTGATTTTTTTTAAAAAAATTTCCCTGTTTCATATTCAATTGAATGATGCAAATTTATTTACAAGCACCGTGAATAGAACTTCAATGCAAACCAAGCATAAAATGTTATGGTAAAGAATCGAAGTCATCATGGTTGTACGTACATGGTTCGAATAATCATCTTTATTAAATTTAATTAAAAGTATGTTATTTAAGTGTAATTATAGTTAATTTTTAAGATATTTTTTATTTTTAAATGTATAAAAATAATATATTTTTTATTTTTTTAAAAAATATTTTTAAAATTAATATATCAAAACAACTTAAAATATATAAAAAAATAATTTTAAAAAACACATGGCAAATACAATATATTAGATTCAAAGTTCGAGTTCGTAGTTATGAATTACTCATACTTATTAAAATAATATTATTTTATTTATTTAAAAAATAATATCATTTTAATTTTTTTAAAATTTAAACTTAATTTTGACTAAGTGGATGAAGTGAATTAAATTAACTATATATTATTTTTTTAAAAAAATCTTAACACAGGTTGAGTTTAATATTTATAAAATTACTGACGTGCTTTATAACTAAGCTGGAGTGTCACCTGCTAGAACCGAAGCGCCACTCAAGGATAAATTTCTAATTTTTTTATGGGTTGGAATAGTCGAGATTTAAATTATGGTTATATATTTTTTTTTCCCTTGGAAAATTATGCTAGCATTTAATTCCATTACTATTGATAAATAAGTGTATTCTGAGCATGGTAATGAGCTGGAAGTTGACGGGCCTGCCCACTGATTTGCGATTTCTGTCTTCAATTCACATGCTAGTAATTTTTGTCTCTCTCTCGTTGGCCGTCTACAAGGGACGGGATGCTGGATAGTTTTCTTTTCTTTTTTTTTATACACGGGAATGAAGTTTCTTTGCTTCACCCTTCATGTTAACATTAAATTATGGCTGGATTTTTTTTAAAATTTTAAATTATTTTTAAATAGTTTTAATAAAATAATATCAAAAAATAAAAAATCTTATTCAAATGTATTTCTAAAAAAAAAAAAATATTCTAATATATTTTTAAATAAAAAATACTTTAAACAAAACAATCGTTATGACCAGGGTTATTAAAAACATGTTTTAACTCATGAAATTATATGATTTTATGAGTGAAAATGCATAAAACATGTAAATTCAGGTTTAAAACTTGAAAACCAACAAATTCAGTTAAATTCGTGTAAAATCAGGTTAACTCGTAAAAAACATGAAACTCGGTCCGATTTCACGTGAAATGAAAAACAACTACTGACTCTCTACTCTTCACTCACCAAACCCGACACTCCAAGTCCATGTCTCCACCTTTCCCCTTCTTGGCCTTTCTTTTCCCTAAATCACCAGCGGCCCAACAGAATAAGAAATTGGTTCCACTCTTCACTCTTTACTTACCAACAACGTCTCTGAAGTCTAATCTGAATCTAATTTTTTCAACTCTCCACTTTTTCAGCTGGCTTTTCTTGCCATCGAGATCTAGCTTCCAGAATGTTCTTGGTAGGAAGAACGTAAAAATTTATTCACAAGCTTTGTTTTTCTGTTTGGTATTTACAATGTGATGTTATAAGAAATTAGGTCTCTAGTTTTTCATTTTTTTATTAGATTTTGTTGCTAAAAATATTAGAATTGCTAAAAAGTTAGTATGTTAATAATGGTGGTGATTCTAGTGAATTTTGTATAGGAAATTGAATAAAGAATTAACAGTTGAAATTACTTTTGACATTGAATGGTGGTCAGGAGTGCTAACCCATATGTAGACATCTTGAATGTATAAATTTGGAATAGAAACTGAAGAGTGGGTATAATATTGATTGAAGGATGAGTAGCCTTTACTTTTATGTCATGGATGCTGCATAGTATCTCATAATTAACTCATAATTAACAGAAGATATTTTGTTCATCTATAAAGTTGTTTTTTAATCTCACAATTAATAGAGGATATATTCTCATGTTGTTTATTTATAAATTTAAGATTTAAAAATTTTCAATACATAAAAGAAAACCAGATTTAATCTCAAAATTACGTTTTGATCCTTATTTTGGAAAGTTGTTGTTTTAGCCCTTAAACCTATGAGATTAAACCTGATTTTCTTTTATGTATTGAAATTTTTTATTTATGTTATTTTGAGTTGCTTTTGAGAATATTTTATATATTTATAATGGGTTCTCTTAACGATTCTCAATAGGTTTTTCGGATCTTTCATTTACATTCCTTTTAATCTATATTTTTTCGGGTGAGTGAGATAATCTTTAATATGCATATAATATAAATAAATATATATGTTGATTATACAATGAGTATAACTAGTTAATTTTCATATATTGTAAATAAATTTACATGTTGAATACTTATATATATTGCTTTATTTTTCAAGTACGCACTTTTAAGTACTAATCATCTATCAAACTAAAAATTATTCTTGAATTTGCACTCGCAGTCTATCAAACTAAATTCTATTTAATATGATATACGTTTCTTTGATGATTATGTAAATATTTATTATGCATTAATATAGGACTTGTTAGCAATTCCATGTTAATTGGTTAGCATATGTGCACATAATATTCTAAATACGTAGATGGTGAGAGAGGTGTTAGTCTGTGGTGACTAATCATCCCACAATGGTTGCCTTCAAGTGTCATCTAATCTCTAATATGTATTCTATTATGTTATGATAAGATATTTAGTATGTACATGTATATGTATATCAACATAAATCGACTTGCAACTATTAATATTAATGTCTAAAATGTATATTAAATATTAAATACTTGGTTCTTAGTTTCTGATAGTATATGAACTTTGTTGAGTGTTCTTGCTTCTTCAGGTTGGGTCGGTATGCCTTCCTTATTTTACAAGGCTTTTCTTTAGTTTTGATTCAATGTTTTAGATGCTCCATTGTTACCTTATTTTGATTAAGTTTGGATTTTGACAATGTAATGAGTATTATAAAATATTATTTTTATTTTAGTTATTGATGAAAATTTTTAAACTATCTTTTGGTTTTATCAATTTTGAATAATATACTATTTCTTTTTGGTTTTATCAGTTTTGAATAATATACTATTTTTGAAAATTATGAAATATTGTATATTTTTGAATAATTTATTCTTTTAATATGTTTGTTCCGATGCTTAGCGTAGGTGAGGTGTTCTTTTGACATTGTTCCTACATTGTCGATCTTAAACTATCTTTTGATTTCATTAGTTTTGAATAATATACTATTTTTAAAGATTATATAATGTCGTGTATTTTTGAATAACCTTTTATCTTGATATGTTCGTTTTGAAACTTAGCGTGAGTGAGGTGTTCTTTTGACACAGCTCATGTGTTGCCGATTATAGACTTGAGATTCGGGTAGTGACAATGTGCTGCCCATTGTATTGACTTGATATTAAAAGATTTTGAAAAGAAACTAAAGTTCTGTCAAGTAACTATTGCTAATGGAAGGAGAATCACCTCATACATATATATAAGAACTATTCTCATTTCCATGCTAAAACACTTTACAAAAAGAAAGAATTTGACTAGGCCTCCTAATATTAGATTTGCTACTGCATATTTAAATTTTGGATGTTTGAGAGATTGTAAGACATAATTGATGACAATTTTTACTTTCATCAAATAAAGGTCATGTATGTTTTCAAAAATAGAAAAAGAAAAGCAAATTCAAAGTTGTGTTTTGGATAGCAAGTTTTGATATGATGTCAATGTATCAAGATAACATGTTCTCTAATAAAAGTTCTTCAATTAATTATTTTAAATGAGAAATCAACTATAAGTTTTATATTTGAAGTAATGGATCAAAAAAAAAGAAAAGATACAAATAAATTTTGATTATGTGAAAAAAAGGTATTAATTATATATCTTGCAAGTTATTTATTTACTACTATCAATTGATACATAATGTTTATTTCACTTTTACATTATTTAATTTAATGTTTATGATAATATTCTTATTTTTTATTTTGTAATTATATACTTATATGAAATATGATTAATGCAAGATAGGAACTTCAACTTTACAGAACTTTTATATGCAGTAGCTTATTATTTGAATCTTCGTTATCATTATAATTTTAATTTTAAAGTTAATGCCAACTTTAAAATTAAATTATATCAATGCTTATAAAAGATAGTGCCGGATGCAAGTGAAATGTGTAAAATTAGCTTACAACTTGATTCATTTAAGGATGTAAATGAATTGTTTGGTATTGTGGTTGCAAAGATAACAAGGGATAATAAGGATAAATGTACGGAGCTATAAAAATTTGTAATTTAAGATCTGAGCCTGACTTGTAGTTCATCCAGATGTGAGCAAAACTAGAGTGCATTTGAGATGGTGAGTTTTATTCTTTTTAATTTTAATGCCTTTATATTTTATAAGAATCTTATGCGTTACCAAGTTGAATTGCTTACATAGTTTCATATAAAACGAAAAAATCATTTGCACAATAAGAAAATAAATGACATGGTATTTATAATGTGTAATTTTAAATTAAATGATAACCAAGTCAAAAAGCAAAGTAATGATTTTGGTGAAGTTTTTGATCATCTCTCATCTGATAATGATTGGATAATCGAGGAAGAAAAACATAATAGTTCATCAAATTCTGATTTGCTTAGTTTCATTGATAGTATAACATGAACAAAAAATAATAAAGAAGATGAAAGTGACGATAAAAAAAATCTTAATGATGTTGAAATGAAGTGTCATGAAACTGAAGATGATTTAGAGATTCAGAATGATATCAATTTAGATAATTTAAGGGACTTAGAGATAAATATTGTTGACAATATTAGTATTGGTGTTGGTACTAATAGCAACACTAATGTTCACAATATAGATACTAGTACTAATAGTAGCATTAATAATAATAGTAATAATACTTTAGATAATGATAATTTTGATGAATTTTTAAGAATAATAAGGAAGATAAAAACAACAAGACTACATTTACTTTACATAATATACCAACAGATTATTTGTTTTAGGTTTATTAACTTTTAGTTAATGAAATTCTTTAAATATGTATGAATTTTATTTGAATTATATATTTTAAGATGTTTAAATATTTTTATTATTTATTTTATTTTTATTTTAATTGTGCTATATTATTATCTACTGAATTTTATTTGAATTATATATTTTAAGAAGTTTAAATATTTTTATTATTTATTTCATTTTTATTTTAATTATGCTATATTATTATTTATTACTTGACTAGATCTTATTATTTAATTAAAATATTTTACTAATCATTTTACAAGTAAAGTTTATATTGTATATTTCTTATTATTTAATTAAAATATTTTACTAATCATTTTACAATTAAAATTAAAGTTTATATTATATATTGCATGTCATGTCAATTTTTTTTTTTAC